ACCCCCCATTAGATTGTATGCTTTCCCCCTCCACCACCAGTACCTTCTCACCCCCACCACATTATACACCCCACCTTATTGAACTTGCCCGGGCAATTTCAGTATAAAAAAAATACTACGTGCCCACTTGGGTTTAATAAAAGATTGTTCAGCTTATAGCTATCATTAACGTCCGTGAACGATTTGATTTCGGCGAAGGCAAAAGCTTTGCAGAGGTTACCAGCAGAGAAAACAAGGAATCCATCTGGGCGACGTTTGGTGAAGTCGGCGCCAGAGCTTACAGCCTTAGCAGTTTACTCATCGGTAAAATCAGACATAATCTCGCCATCAGCTCTTCTTTCATCAAATAGTCCTTGAAGAATACCCTGAAGATAACGTAAACAAAGTCGGCGTTCTTTGATCTGTTGTTTATCTGTATGCCAAAGCAACGATTGGAGCAAATGAGTTAAGGCCCCAACAGACTGCTTTATGGTGATTGAATAGTTGGGAGACTCACCAGTAATCTTATATATGGCAGTATCAACATCAATCTGCTTTCTAATTAGTTCACGGTAGCTTTTTTTAGGACATCCAACAACGCGGAGGGAAACTCAGATACTCCCCAGTTTAAATGGGATAGGCGATCTTCGAGAACCGTATACGATGAACCATTCAAGAAACCATCCAAAACTAAATCATTTGGTCTTTGGCACAATAGGAGAACCGACGACATTGACAGTATACTTGCAGGATGATTTTCGAAGGTCAGAAGATTTCTGGTGCGAATGAGCTCCTTCATATGCATCTGATATATGTGGGATCCTAGGCTAACGTTGAAACCATTAACAAGGTATGGTTCACAGATTGGAGTAGTGATGTTTTTTGAGAGAGTTGTCGATCATACTAACGGTGGAAGCAGACGACGTTGATATATTTCCCGTTTCTGTTTCCATTTCTGATATAAATTCAGTGTTTCCCGAATCAACATTATTCTGTGTGGTTTCTTGTACCTTGGAGGCATAAGAATACGACAAAGATGGGATAATTCTTTTTATTAAAAGGAAATCATGCCAAAAAAAAAGAAAGAAATCGATCTTTGAAATTGGAATTCAACTTTTGTTCAAATTTAAACACAGCAGTAACTTTTTGATTTCTTCACTGTATTTCCAGAAATGGTATGCATATTCCAAATCAGGACGGTTACCCTAACATCACTGGTTCATCGAAAGTCTGAGTCAAGATCGAGCTTTTCTGCAGTTTACCCTGATCATAAAAAAAATCGCTTAAAATCCATATAAAAGATCGTTGTAGACACACATTTACACATTTCTTTGATTCCTTTTATTTATTCTTGAACGATGATACAGCAAACCGATCTTGTCCAGGCATTAACATGTCTTGTCTGCGGTAATGTGCTTAAAGACCCTATCACACTCTCTTGCGGCTATACCATTTGCTCCCATTGCTTTCCTGTCGTTAATCCAACAGCAATAAAGAAATCAGTCTTTGTATGTCCTATTCCACATTGCGATGCAACTACTCATCTTTTTGGTCCTGAACTACTGCATGACGCAACCATCATACGACTCACTTATATCCTTCAACGCTCTATTCCATTCTCGGATGCAAATTCAAGTAACAAATTAAATGGCAATGCTATGAACTCGCTTATACCCATCTTAAACTGTTCGTCTTGTCATCAAACGTATGCTGACCCTACCACGACACCTTGTGGGCACACGTTTTGTAAACTATGTCTTTTACGACACAAGATTGAACGAAATTCATGTCTATCTTGCTCGCGACCGCTTCCCAAGTATACCAATCTGATGACGCAGACTCCAAACTATGTGCTATCCCATATCCTCAAGAACTTTCAATTAGCCGGCTTTATTCATTATGATTATCGCGAAACGAAGCATCTTAATAAACTTAGCCTGCAGGAACATGATATACCACTGTTTGTCTCTGGAAAAATCATCTTTCCCGGCCAGCGATGTCGATTATCCTTTTACCCATCATCTATTACAAATCTTATTTTGTCTCTGACGTCCTCCAGTCGATACAGCAATCTCTGCTTAGTTTCGATTCATCGCAGCCATCCGGAAGTGGCACAATTTGGTACTATCCTACAGGTTATTAATTTTGAACAAAGTGGCGATACTGTTTTTCTGGATGTTGAAGCTACAGACCGTTTTAAACTTGAACATCATAAAGAGGTTGACCATTTAATAGCCGATTTGGATATCCTGCTCGAATCGGATACACAAAAGATGCTTGAATATTACAATATGTCGTTTGATCAGGAGGCGCTACAAACCAGATTAATTCAATATACCACGGATCTAGCAAAGGCAATACTTCAATTTATCAAACACATTGGACGACCTTCAACCATGTCGTCCCAAGTGCTTCATGCTCAAACAGCTGGCTTGTTAGGGCCCCTTTGGCTGGAAAATATGCAAAAGATACATGGCCCATTGCCCACAAGCGATAATCCTGCGGCTGTCTGCTGGTGGGCTGCTTCCGTTTTGCCTGTGCCCTCTAATAGTTTCTATACATTATTAAGGACCATTTCACTTTTGGATCGTTTAGAGCTTGTGATATCATGGATGAAAGAACTGGAATCACAATGGAAGCAATGTCGCGAACAAGCTATGCTAGCTATGTTGCAAGTTCCTCAACAAGAGCATTAACTCTAATATACCATTCATTTCTTTTTTTTATTATTTTAGTGATCAAATGTATAAACCATCTTATCTTGTATTCTTCTCTATTTGAATGTGTTTATAAAAAGCTTTAAAATATAAGCTTTCTTTTATTCTTGTTTATGTGTTGTCTTTATACTAAAGACAATAAAGAACTATTCATTGTCTGATAAGCTAGGTACTTATACATTTGTAAGCAACTGTGATTATAAAGATGATATCTAAATATACTTTATGGAGAGATAAAAGACATGCTTCAAACTCCTTGGCTTTTCAATATTAAACGTCAATGCAAATAAGGAACATGTTCGATTCGATCTGAGCGTAATTGGAAACAAATTCATCTGATTACTAAAAAAGTATTGGAATGCCCACTTTTTGGTTTGTAAGTTCCTCATTTTAAAGGAGTTCTCGATCCCCCCTTACTTCATTCGTATGTCCCTTGTATTTCTAGACAACTATTTAAAAAACAAGTAAACAGTATTGACAAGTCATCCTGTGCATTTATATGTCATATCTGTGCGAATTAAAGCTTATATTGATGGTATAATCGTTTAACCTATCGTTACCTGGTAACAACAGCATTGTCCTTATAACTCGTGTGAGCTGTGTTTTGTGACACCGCCAAGCCTTCCGCGGACATCGAGTGTAATGAAGAGAAAGATAAAGAAAAGAGAGACAGGAGGTAAGATCGAGCCATGATGCAGTAAAAGTTTAAGTATAAATAAACTAAAAATACAAGACACGATTATGATAAAAGTTAGTTCCCTTTTCTGTGTGATTTGTTTACTTTTTTAGGGAGCAACTAAGTTTATTTCTTTGTGTTTGTTTGTTATTTTATGTATTTCTCCTTTTATGAGAAAGTCAAGATAATAAAATCAATAAATGAGCTGCAATACATATTCTTACTTCGTCCTATCAAAAGAGCGTGCCCCTTCTCTTTCTTCAACATATTTGACTTTTTATTATTTAATTCATGCTTTATATGTATGTGTGTAAAAAAAAAATAAAACAAGGTTGTCGGAGTCAATATCATCGTCCTTATTAGAACCTAACATATTTATTTCATTTATTTCCTTTTTTTCCTATTCATGTCTTCCATACAAGAGGACGAAAGAGATATGACAAATTATTTACCGCCTATACCAGTTTTAATGAGGAAACCTACTTTAATTGCCTCTGTTAAGCAATATAGATCAGAAGCACAGGGAGAGCAATTACATCAACACATTGTCTCGGAATCCTTCATTCCTATGGCACCCAATCAACCAAAACCTCCAAGAAAGAGACGAAGACCACCATTTTCTTATTCTTCACTTATTGCTCAAGCTATCTTAGCAAGTGAAAATGAAAGAATGACGCTACGAGATATCTATAACTGGATCATAAACAAGTATCCAGCCTTATATAATGCTGATGACACTGGCTGGCAGGTAAACCTTTAAGATACATATCGATAGATGGCCTAATTATGTATAGAATACGATTCGACACAATTTATCATTAAATCGATGTTTTAAAAAAGTACCCAAAGATGAATTAGATGAACATAAAGGAAAAGGTGGATATTGGACAATAGATCCGACCTATATGGAAAAGTTTAAAAATGGTGCATTTGCAAGGGGTGCATCAGCTTCAATGCGTAAAAGACCTGTATCATCACCCTCATCACCTTGCTTACCTGATACCCCCGTGTCAATATCGATGCCAAAGGAAAACACTGAATCAACTCATAATAAACCAACAAGCGAACCATGTCATGTCATGCAAATCCATAATTTACTAAACTAGTCAAACATCAACTTCCCTTTGTACATTTCACCCCCTTCTCTCTTCTTCTTTTCTCCCTTTGAACTTTATTGTATATTAAAGCATGCTTTTTCTCTTTTTCTCATTTAATAAACTTTTTACTATTTGTAGCACAGGCACTACGACAATTACACACTGGTTTATTGGAATGGAGATTGAATAAGTAAGGTTCATCAATTGGATAGAAATCATGGTCATAAACTCAGCAGAAACACCACGCGATTGTTCTTTGGGAAAGGAAGGGGGGGACAGGATAAGAGCAAACAATAAGTTTAGATTCATAAACAAAGAAAATGCTTTGTTTGGTTAGACTTATCTGATAATAGTATAGTCGGCATCTTTATCTATTTTTTGTGGCTTGATCAGCCACTATTTTTACATATACAACAATGAGCACACTGGACACAAACGTCAACCACGATTTTTTATCATGAAAGGATCAACCTTAAAATGGCGCTCATCAACCATGTGTACATGTACTATTAATATCAAAATGCAGATTGAATTAATTGACCGCGTATACTTTTTGTGATGAAAAACAATGAACAGTTTAGATGCACAAATATTTGGCTTACAAAGTGTCATTGAGCATTAGACTGCAAGCTCATTAAAGCATTCCAATGTTAGTACCGGCTAAATCAGACAAAAAGGTAATTGTTTCAAACTTGGCTTTTCAATTGGTTACTACAGCAACCACGATGCGGCACTTCAATGACAGCCACAAAAGATACAGTCAAAGCCCGATAAGAAGACATTTGTTCTGGGAGTCCTTTGTGACAGAACATCATAAAACCGAAGGTTGTGTGAGGAAAAGCCTGTGGAGATAGCATTGTGTTGTCTGCACGGTTACAATATACAAGGTTGAGATTACTCCCAATTAATATTAGCCTTACAAACACGTATAATTATCATATTTCATTCACATACCCCCATCTCATTGCAAAATAAAGTCATTTTGAAGTTAATACCATATCATATATCTATACGAAATATGTCTGTATGCACATTTTTTTTCGTTCTTCAGCCTACTGATGTTCATTAAACGAATAGTTGCCAGTTAAATACATCTCTTAAAATTGAGCTATAGCATCCTTGATACAAAATCAAGTCTTTTTGTATATGTGCATGTTACTCAAGAACAATAAAACCCGGGTTACACTGTAAATCAAGCTACTGTCCTATATGAATAATCTAATAATTCAGCATTATTTATCTGTTACATACATACAAGTAACAAGCAACCGTCTTAAGTATATGCTGTACTATATCTAACTGGAGTGCCAAGAAACATCATAAATTCGTTTATTTCATTCAAACAACACTTTTGTGAAGAGAGTCAATCGTGCCTTTTAAAATACTCACAGATGCATAAAATGCACAAGTCCTTTAGACTACTTCTATCCAAAACGCAAAATTCTTTAAAGGAGCAAATCATTCCCAAATAATCAGATTATCATTGAATCAGTAGCCATAAGTGACAGTTAAACTACTTCAACTGTCTAAATATACTCCTTACCTACTTAGTCTTGTGCTCATATCCAAGTTCTCGACAGAATTAAGCCCCTCACGTGACTACTATTTGACTATACAAAAAAAAGAGAACCGTACAATCCACTCTGTACAAAAAGAAAAAGGAGGTTCTTGGGGTTAAAAGCTCAGTAATAGATTCATTATTAATTGAAACAACAACGTAAATCGTGGATCCATTAAGTCACTTTAAAAAAGAGAAAAAGAAAGGAAGAAACTTTACTGAGAGGGAAAATTTCCTGTTCCGTTTAGGCCCATTTTTATTTACCTTTTTTTTCCCTTTTTTGCAACCCTTGCTTCGACCCAAAGGGCCACACTGATTATTCGACATGTCAAAAGTCGTTATTGACACAATTGAAAGAACAAAAGAATACAACAACTTTATTGAACAACTAAAAGCATTTCATACCAGAAAAGGGTAAACAAAGCACATTATTTTGTATATTTACTAAATGTCAATTATAGAACAACACTACTTCCTGAACCAGTATTGGGAGGCAAAAAAATCGATTTACACAAGCTATTTAAGGATGTTATTGCTGCAGGCGGCTTTGAGCAAGTAAAAAAAAAAAAACATTAAATATATAGGCTTCTTATCCAATATACTCATTTCTTATTCAGGTAACCAAAAAACGAAGTTGGAAGCAGATAGGTGATGGATTTGATTTACCAGCAACTTGCACCAACTCTGCTTATATCCTCAAGGGATTATACATTAGAAATTTGGTAAATATATATATATATATATACTAAATGCAGTATTCATTGTTAAAACGGATTACAGTTAGGATGGGAAGAAGAACATATTTGGTGTAAAGAATGGGTTCCACCTGAGGAACTCAAGGGACCTGAAGCTCATAAGGCATCTACATTAGCTGGAAAGACATACAAGAAATGTAAACATCACCATACAACAACGAATTGTAAGTAAGCTTCTATCCTAAATAAATTGCAAACTCATGATTGATTTAGGTAAAATAAGAGAAACACCCATTTTACCAAATCAACCTAGCATAGTCAATACACATATTTTACCGTATAATATGATTAAAGCAGATGAAGTTCATAAATGTGCCGTTTCAGAACTACATCACCTTATTCAGCCTATAGATCATGTTCACTCGATAGGATCAGATAGTAGAGATTGTGTAACAGGTAATCAGTATTAAAGTTTCCCCTGAATCAAAATGAAGCTCATTTTCATAGGCACTGAGTTTGACGACAACGCCAAAAAGACCATACTATTGGCACTTCAATCCAACAATGCGAGCCAAGTAGAACTAGCGCTCAATAACATTGTTACCATCTCATACGAATGTCCACAAAAGCTATTACTATCCGACAACCGAGTCTTGCTGGACATTTTACTCCAGAAGGCAGACGTTTGCTTACAAAACATATTGTTTTCTCATTCAGACTCTGAATCACAGTGTACCATACTCAAGATACTCCACATCATGCGCAACTTTTCATTTGTTGAACCCAACATACGCATACTAGCAGCCAATGCAGACTTTAAGCAAATGTTGATCAAGTGTCTCGTTTTGCCCGATTCATCGCATTATAGCCATTGTATTGATATACTAGAGAACATGACACCCTTTGTTGAATTAGGGCCCTTTGATTCTATCATCGGATGCTTGAACAACTTGCTCATGACAGCGACCGAGAGATCGGTGATATTGGGCTCTATCCGTATCTTGACCATGCTTGCCTCATCCAACACTAATTTACATTATCTTTTGCCCACATCAACACAAGTTGCTGAGCGAGTCGCTCAATTTTTGATTGCAAATGATGAAGAGCTTATCGGTGTCAGTCTAGAGTATCTGTACCAATACAGTCGACTATCCATCTCGTTCAGTCAGTCCTTACTTAGTCTACATGGAGGCGCTGATATAGGCATCATGGTCTCACTCTTGATGACGCCGGCCAAGTATTTTGTTCCTATGCTTGTCCAAGATACCTTCTATTCCCCTCTGCCGTCACCTTCACCTAACATGTTTGGTCATCCAAAAGAGCACCATAGGAATTCACCGTGTATGCCTAATCTGGCATCTTATCAGCAATTAGACGAACCTTATCGCTGTTTAGGATGGTAAGATCATTCTGATAAACTGGGCCTCGCTAATATATAACACATGATGATAGGCTTAAAGATAGATTTGAGCTGACTCAATCCAACAGTGAATTATCCCTGGATGATGTATATTTACTGTATAAAATGAGATTTGATCATGAAAAGCCGCTCAAGTTGAAAGAATTTTATACAGTGCTCAAGATTGCATTTCCAATTGCTACAACGGGGCCCGAATCATCACAGCCAGGCAGCGCTGTGTTAGAAGGCACAACAATTCGTGGTCTGCAAGTCAAACTGAATATCTTACAGGATGGTAAGTTTTCAAGAAAAAAAAAAGAATAATTTCTTATAATGTATTATAGGATCAGAGCTGATGTGCCAGTGGACAAACTGTTCTGAAAGCTTTGATAGCGCTCAACTCCTTCAAACACATATACTTCATGATCACTTACCTACAACCACAAGTTGTATGTGGAGCGACTGCAAGGACGATCACCTGTTCAGAGACAGAGGCGAACTAACAGATCACGTCCAACACTCTCATCTCCTCAACAGTAATTATACCGACAACTCAGACATTCAAGGCGTAGCTCTTGTTGCAGCACAATTATTAAAGGTGCTCTCACAGAATCCAAACAGTCATGTTCGATTTATGCCTTATGAACAAGAATTGATCATGATGACAAAGATACGACCCAAGCTACTTCCCTATATAGAATGCATGTTTTCTAACTTTCAGATCGCCTCCAATAATTCTTCTGTTTCTTCACGCTCTTCTTCCATTTAATCACCAAAAAAAAAGCTGCCCTGAACCTTCATACATTTCGTCATCATTTTTTTTTTTTTAATTTTTCATTATCAACTCTGCACACACATTTTATTTATTTATTTCCCCCTCTTTTTTTCTTTTTTTCTTTCTCTCTCTCTTTTTTTTCCATTCTAAAATAAATTGTGTTATGTCCAAAAACTTATCAATAAATACAACGTCTAAAGCCATTAATGAAAGATGTTCTTCTAAACCAGACACTCTACAAGATGAAAACGCAAGTCCACAACGAAAACAGTCTCAAGGCTTTATAGAAGAAAATGATGACGATGATGAAGAAGAAGAGGAAGAGGACGAAGAGGAAGAAGAAGGTTCTGATTTTTCATCTTCACCTAGTATACCTGATGAAAATATCAATTTTGATCTTGTCTATACACTTCATACATTTGAGGCCACTGTAGACGGCCAAGTGTCTGTCAAAAAGGGAGATGCACTTACTTTACTAGACGATTCCAACTCATACTGGTGGCTGATTAAAGATTTGAAAACATCTGAAGTTGGATACATTCCTGCTGAAAATATCGAAACGCCCTTTGAGAGATTGGCAAGGCTGAATAAACATCGAAACGTGGAGGTAGGACAAGGATGATGAATTGTTTATTTATCGCAATCTAACCACTTCTTGGTTTATGGGGGTGATTGTAGATCACATCATTAGGCCATGCAGCTCATTATATTAAAAACAACACGAAACAAACGAGATCAAGACAAAAAAAAGTTATGCTCTCACCATCCGTCAAAGTCCAGCTTGAGGTCATCTTGGCAGATGATGAAAATGAAGAAACGACATATGAAGAATGGAATGAGGAACTGATTGATAATGCTGATGATATTGAAAGCGAGGAAGAAAAAGAAGAACAACCTGATGTGAAAGAGGAAAAGGTCAAGGAAAATGAAACAGAGCGTACGTCAATAGAGGATACCAGCGTGTCTTCTAAAGTACTTCGAGTCTATGCTGGTAAATTAAACGTTGGAGCATCCTATCATTCAATACGCGTGACAGAAAACATGAGTACGTCTGAACTTCTCTCGAAAGCAATGGAAAAGTTCCACATACCACAAATTGACAAACACCATAAACGCAGCAGCAGTAGTGTTGAGTACTATTTATCCATTCGAAATAGAGATGGTGATGAAATCACGCTGGAGCCTGAAGACAAACCATACAATATCTATGAATCACTGAATGCACACCTTACTACACCTATGCCAAGTCTTTCTGAGCAGTTCAAGCTGTCTGGTACCTTGAAAAAGAAGAAAAAGAGACAGCATGATGTACAGTTTTTGCTGCATAAACGTATTAAGCGAATGAATGAAGGCGGGCTTGTTCATATCAAATTGTCCTTATTGGCCCAAAAGGCTGCATCTGATAAAGGAAATGCCTTCTTCCAATCATGGTTAATGAAAAAGAAAAAGAAGGTGGCATCGGTAGCAGAAAGGATTGACAAAGTGGTAGCGGTCCATGATACGATCACAATAACCCAGCTAACACAAGTTGCATTTGAAAAATTTCATATTGTACCACATGAATCACATTCATACAGATTACTGTTACATACAAAGAATCGAGGTATATGACAAAGAGAGCTACCTATAGGATTGTATTGCTGATACACTATATAGATACCCTGTTAAATAGTGAATTAATACTAGCACAGGTGCTAAAAGAGCTTGGCAATGACGAAGAGAAGCAGTTCATATTACATAACTTTAGTAGCACAGCAACGGTTACTCAGAACAACAACAAAAGCAACAACAACAGCAAATCATTGGTTTTTCCTTCTGATGTATTGGGATCTGATTTGCCTGCAATGCTAATAAAACAAAATATTTCTACTCCTTCTTGACTATGAATATGGTTTTCAACAACACTCTCCTTACTTCCATACTCTGAAGCAGAGAAGAGCTGCACGCATGAAGTAATATCAATACAGTCTTTTCAGAAAGTAAAGTCGCATTTTTGCAATTTTTATAATACAATTTATACGAAAAAGCGACAACCCAGTACGACATCTCTTTCTGGAATGGTGTATCACCATAGGAATATGCATGAAGATTCATGGTTATTGTGGTTCCTTGATTTTCATTAGATTGTTTTTTTTTTTTTGCAGTATAGATCTTTTCAGTACCCTTAGGATTAAGTTTCAGGAATCCTATTCATAACGTTGGCACGTCATAATTAGATATCTTGTGGGAATACCAAACATCTAATTCGGATGACAGTGATAGTTGATTCTGAGACACAAACTATTCTAAAACGAATATGTTATTGTCCCTAGTTGAGTAAACCGTACTATGTCTACATCAAGGAATTAGACTAATCATTGGCAAGATCTTACCAGAAATAGGTCATCATAGAGTTAAATCTTATATTGTATCAGGTAAAGAGAAAGAAATACCTTGTCATTAGCCCAAGATTATTGTATTTTCACGTCATACAGTCGCATGTGATGATTAGATAAATTTTTTTTACTTGTTTTTCATTTTTATATTTTTTGTCTTCTTTCTTTCTGTCTTTTTATGGAGGAAAAAAAGATTGTAAGCTTTGAAGAGTATAAACTGCCTCCATTAGGCCATGCTGTATCCGGTGCTGTAGGGTCAACCATTGCGAATTTATTTATATATCCACTTGATATGTAAGTCAACCATTATGTTTCATGAATCGTATACTTATCTTTGCGAAACTCAGTTCAACCACTCGATTACAGTTAAAACAAGACAAGGAAGAGAATGAAGGCATACTTTCTACCATAAAGTCAATTTATCAAAAAGAAGGCGGCATCAAGGGACTCTATGCTGGATTAGGATCAGACACGCTTGCTACCGTCCTATCAAGTTTTATTTATTTCTACTGCTATACTGCATTAAGGAATGTTCAGGAAAAACTAAATACGCGAATGGGTAAACCAAACGCTCAGTTAAATATAGCTCAAGAACTCTTTTTGGGGGCTGAGGCTGCTTTAATTTCTCGATTCTTTACGACACCTGTGTCCAATGTGACGACTCGACTCCAGACCAACGGTGGAAATGGAGGTTTTAGGGCAACAGCCATGTCTGTGTTTGATCAGAAAGGTATCACCGGCTTTTGGACGGGATATCGTGCCTCGATGGTCTTGGTCTCCAACCCGTCCATTACGTACTTTGTCTTTGAAAAACTAAAAGCGTTTTACCTGCAAACCAAGAAAAAGTCAAGTTTATCTTCTTTTGAAGTCTTCTTGTTCTCTGCCCTATCAAAGAGTATTGCAACCATGATCACCTATCCTTTTATCTTTTTACGCACACGAATGGTGAGCGGTAAAAATGACCGAGAGAAGAGTGAAGATGAAAAAGTCAAGACGAAAGGTATGGTGGAGACATTAAAGGAAGTAGTTGAAAAAGATGGAATGATTGGATTGTATAAAGGAATGAAGGCACAACTCATTAAAGGATTCTTTAACCAAGGCATCATGTATATGATTAAGGATTACGTAGCAACCTATCTCACCCTTGTATTCTATCACTCATATAAATTAAAAATGAAGGCCAAACTTGGCGTGTAATTAATTATAAAATAAACATTTATAGACAGATATCCCATCACTGTTTTCTATTAATTTTCTCGGCCTTTGCGGTCTTGGCGTAAGCCCTATATAATCGATAGATACCAAACAGATGTCATGCTGTGCATATTGTGAATAATGAAGCATATCTGTAGTGGTTTAATAATAGAGTAAGCTCTATATATGTTTTTATCTACAAGTGCTTCCAACAAGTAATGTCACAGCCAATGAAAAAGATGTCATTGGTCGATCAAAATCAATATCACTGGCCAATTAAAAAAGATGTCACTCAGAAATAGTCATATTTTTAGAAACTGTATCACCATAATTAATTCTTGGCACCGGAAGAGTATAAATGCAAGATGAATATTTTTTCCTTGGTATTTCTTTTGTTTTTCAAATACTTTACTAATTTAACATGAGTACGATATTTTTATACGAAGATGGACATGGGAATGTTGTTGATGAGAATGAATTTGCTGTTGAGACACTTACTACTCATAGTGAATACATGCAAACTGTGTCCTCGAGTGAATCTTCTTTGACATCTCGTATATTGATAGAAAAGCCAAAAGATAAAGATACTCATATGAAGAAGGCAAATGTAAAACGGTATTATGTGCGTTATACTGTCCAGGATAAAGCTCGGTTTTTTGATCTGCAGATTGAAAAATGTATGAGTGCATCAGCTGCAGCGAAGCAGTTGAATATTCACATTCGAACAGCGTACAGATGGGTTAAGCAGTATAGTACGTGTCCTGATACCATTTTTGACAATGCTAAAAAAAATAGGCCGAAAATGTATCTTGACCGAAAATCATAAAATGACTGTTATCAACTTCATTGATGCTAACCCATCTGCTTCTGTCGTAGAAGTGACCGAGCATATGTTAAAGCAATTTCATGATCTTAGATTTTCTCGCAGCACTGTTTATAACTTTATGAGAAGTGAATGCAACCTTTCGTTGAAGAAAGCAGATCTCCATTCTATTGAAAGAAACAGTCCGGCAAAGGTTGATGAGCGATACAACTGGGTTTGCAAATGGGAAAACACAGACATGAATTTCCTGTCAAATTGCGTGTTTCTTGACGAGTGTTGAATACGAAGTATCAATTAAAAAGAATAAAGACTAGAATTAACCAGACTAAAAAAGATATATATCGATTGACTTTATTAAAGACGAGTATTTATACTAAATGTGAGACACTCTTCAACTGAGATCGTAAAACTTTTCATAGAGGCTTGTGAATGACAATTGAGGCAATGAGAGAGTTAGGACGAATCGGGTGTCTTTGATAAGACGATGATCCCTAATAACAATGATGGATCAGAGTTATTGGATACGCGTACCTTAAAATGCAGTTCCTGGTAATTAGCTTAAATAATGATCCATACAGTTGTTTCAAAGTAGCAAGCTGAAGTCGAATAATTGCCAGTTATTGTTTCATATGTGGTTAATAGTTGATCCACTAAGTATGAATACAACAAAGAGTCTGCTTTTGATATTAATATGAAGCGTTCAAGGGCTTGGTCCAAAAAGGGCATTCGCGTTATTGTTACCCGTCCTACAACAAGAGCAAATACAACGTCTATATTGGGTGCTATCTCAGTAGCAGATTTGATTACGGTTGCCGTAAAAAAACCAAGACCTGCGAAGAAGAGAAAAGCTGATGGATATATAAACTCAGGAACTGTAACAGGTCATTACATTAGTTTCTTAAAAGTGACTCTTGATGAAATGGATAAACATCCGCATATGAAAGGTCACTATATAGTTATGGATAATGCACCCATTCACACACGTGAAAACATAAAGAAGTATATTGAGTATCGAGGGTATAAATGTGTGTATCTTCCTACTTATTCTCCAGAGCTTAACGCAGTAGGACAATTTTGGGCAGTGTCAAAGAGTAAGGTTAAGCGCCATAGGATTTTGCAGGAAGACACCCTATCAAAAAGAATTGCGGAAGCTTGCAAAAGCGTGGAGAAAAGTCTTCAGAGGTTTCGTTTCGCATTCTTACAAGTGTTGGGATAAATGTCGAAACAGAGAGCCCATATAATGACAATGACAAGAATCGGATAAGAAGAATCAAGTAAGCACTATTTTTATTCATTTATTTTTTTAGTATAGGTCATAATTAGGTAAACAACATAATTATCCATTGTAAAAAAAAAAAAAAAAAGATGATGCTGGTTCTTGTTGAATGCTGCTGGCTACCATCTGGCATTTATCTGGCAGCCATCCGGCAACTGAAACGCTAATTGGCTGCCATCTGGCATCTATCTGGCAGTCATCCGGCAACTGAAATGCTAATTGGCTGCCATCTGGCATTTATCTGGCAGCCATCCGGCAACTGAAA